AGATAAATAAATCCACATATACATGAATAAATGTTGAAATTTTAATATCTTAATATAAGGAGCCCAAACATATATTTGGTGCTTGTGTTTGATTTTTAGGGATGGTATATAGAAGAAACAAAGCATTTACTTTATAATTTACTCTTTGCTAATCTTTGGATTTTTTTTTAACTTTAATTTATTTCAGAGAGGGAGAGAGAGAATACACAACTGGGAGAGGGAGAGGGAGAGAGGAAGCGGACTCCCCACTGAGTGTGGAGCCTGAAGTAGGGTGCAATCTCAGGACCCTAAGATCTTGACCCTGAGATCATGACTTGCGCTATAACCAAGAGTTGAACGCTTTAACCAACTGAGCCACCCAGGCACCCCTATTATTTGAAATTTTTTGAAGATGAATAATGGTTTTAATGTCTACAGATTTTTAGGACTGTTGGATTTTGATTCATCTATGTATCCACCTTAATCTTTACTTTATCTAAAATAACCACATGTATCAAAATCATAACATCCCATAAAAAATCTAGTGGAATCAATTTCATAAAACTTTCTTTGAAAATTTATGCAATTATTGTAAAATCTATGTTCATATGTACTTATACAAAAAATATATTTTTTCAAGTATGTTTGCCTTTATAAATAAAAAGTAATCCTTTTTCTCTATTTCATGCTTTCTTTTTTTTAATTTAAATTCAATTAGCCAACATGTAACACATCATTAGTTTTTGGTATGATGTACAATAATGATTCACTCAATAATGATTCGTTAGTTGCAAATAACACCCAGTGCTCATCACAGCACATGCCCTCCTTAATGCCCATCACCAAGTTAGAACATCCCTCCACCCCCTTCCCTTTCTGCAACTCTCAATTGGTTTCTCAGAGTCAAGAGTCTCCTATTGTTTGCCTCCCTCTCTGGTTTCTTCCCCTTCAGTTTTTCCTCCCTTCCCCTATTGTCCTCTGCATTATACCTTGTGTTCCACATATGAGTGAAATGGTGTGATAATTGTCTTTCTCTGAATGTCTTATTTCACTTACCATAATATCCTCTAGTTCCATCCGTGTTGATGTAAATGATGGGTATTCATCTATTCTGATGGCTGAGTAATATTACACTGTATATATGAATCACATCTATATTCATTCATCTGTTGAAAGACATCTCGTCTCCTTCTACACTTGGGTTATTGTGGGCATTGCTGCTATGAATATTGGGGTGCAGGTGCCCCTTGTTTTCATTACATTTGTATCTTTGAGGTAAATACCTAATAGTGCAGTTGCTGGGTTGTAGGGTAGCTCTATTTTTAATATCTTGAAGAACCTCCATACTGTTTTCCTGAGTGGCTGTACCAGCTTGCATTCCCACCAACCATGTAAGAGGGTTCCTGTTTCTCCACATCCTCACCAACATTTGTTCCCTGTCTTGTTAATTTTGGCCGTTCTAACTGGTGTGAGGTGTTATCTCATTGTGGTTTTGATTTGTATTTACCTGTTGGCTAGTGATGTCAAACATTTTTTCATGTGTCTGTTAGCTATTTGTGTGTCTTCTTTGGAGAAGTGTTTATTTCCTCTGCCCATTTCTTGACAGGATTATTTGTTTTTTGGGTATTAAATGCTTTTGAACTGAATTCTATTTATTTTAAATTTTATTCTAAAATTATATATATATTATATATCTATATACATATATGTATATATATGTATTTTACTTACTATTTTATCACTTGAGTTCTAATTTTATTTACTGCTATTTTTCATCCTATTTCTTACTGACTACAAGCTTCTATTAGCCCAGTTTTAGAATTTATGTCTTCTAATTGGAGAATTTAGCCCATCATATTCACTTTTATAATTGATATATTTTTATTTCATTATCATATTTATTTTCTTAATGCTACATGTATTTATTTCATTTTCTCCATTGTACTTATTTGTTATTCTTGTATACTATTCATTCTTCTTGTTTGCTTTAGTTTAATAAAATTTATGCTTAAGTAAAAGTTGTCTACTAGTGCCAAGGAATAAATAAGTCTGATTATTTTTATTTTTATTCTTATTTCTTATTTGAAGCAAGAAAATGTCCACCCTTAGTCCACTAATAATCTTCACCCTTCCCAGTCATACCCTTATAAATGTAATACAATTTTGAAGTTTAATATTTAAAGAAATGAGTATTATTTATTTTCCAGAAATTATTATTTGCCTTCAGTACATTATTGTTAAGTCTTAATCATAAAAGCATGACACTTTACTTCATTACTACTATGAAATTTCATTGAGTCCTAGGTTTTGATTAGTTTTTTAAAGATTAATCTTTGTCCCGTTGATAAAACCTCTCTCATTGACAAGATCACCTGTAGAAAATGGCAGTTCCCAGAGGGCTAACTATACCTTTAACTCTTTTCCACCCCAGAAAGCATAATGAAAATACAAATTATTACAGTAATGTCGGAATGACTGTAAGTTACTTCTGTTGTTGTTGTTTTGAGCCTTGGAATTATAAACACCCTACTGTATCTAATGATGCTGTTTTTCACTGATTCTGTTTGAAATTTGATGAACAATTTTGGTTAATTGCATATTTATTCTCTGTTTACCTTCCTCCTTCTCCCTTCTCTCTCACTTCTTTCTGTTCTTTCTCTCCCCATCATTATTCCTCTCTCTGATATATCCATATATTTCCTTCATATTTTTAATTTCTGATGTTTGCTGTTTATAAGAAACCAAAGAAAAATTTCTTTTTCTCAAGCCAACAGTATTTCTTACAACCTGCAAATGAATATTAATTATTTTTCTGCTTCAATTTTTTCCTTATTTCTGTTATCTCAGTGTTAATGTTCGCCTCTACAAAAAAAAAATCATCCTTTTGTTTTGGTTTTCTGCAATTATTTTATAGAAATCACTCTTATTTGCATCTTTCTCTTAAGAAATCAGGCAGATTTTAGTCTTTATTTTTCTGATTCTGTTAGTAGATCATTTTAAATGTTGTGCTCCTTTATGTCTACCCAGTGCTAGCATTTGGTGCATATATAAGATGGCCCGAAGCCATTAATATTGCTTTCTGCTTTCAGGAATATCTGCTTCCTCCCCCATAGAACAAAACTCCAGGTCATTTAGATGGGACTACACCTTACTTTCAATGTGACACTTAACACATTTCTGTGTAATACAAGTGTTCTGGGAAATTTTTGGTATATTCTTTCTCTCTCAGGTAATCTGACATAACTAGAGAGTTGGAGTGTTTCTCTGAATAGGTTACACCCTAGTTTTAAAAACTATACACACATCCCAAATCTCCTATGTTCCCTGTTTGATATTTTCCTGCTTGAAGTTTGGGAGTTGAGAATAAAATAGAAATAGTTCCTTCTATTTTTTTTTTTTTTTACAGTCAAGCTTTGGTTTGTCCACACTTGTATTTGGATCATACCTACTGATTTTTCTTGTCAATAAAGTGAACTTTGCTAGCCTCTTCATCAAGGTGCTGTAGTATAGTAAAGAGCACAAAATTTGAATCAATGAGACTTGGGTTCTAGAGTTGGCTCTGAATATATTTGCTTTATGACTTTGGACCTTAATGACCCTCAATTTATTCTTTTTCTCTCTCTCATAAAAATGTATATTTTTATCCTAGAAAATCATATAAGTACTTTGGGAATTAACACTCAATCTTAGCTATTGTTAACTAACACTGGTTATACAATGTGCATCTTGTATATTTTAATAGAACATTTAATGGAACATATGCCTAGTGGATCACCATTTTAAGAGAAGAGCGAGGAGTCATGTATAATGGCATGCTTTAATTTATTTCAGTGTCATAATGTTTTATCATGGTCAAATGAAATAATTTTTAAGTGGTCAGATAAATTCGGTCAAGTATGAGTTTATGAGTTGAGTTTTCTCCTTAAAGAACTGAATGAATGAATGTGATATATGTATATTTTTTAAAAGACTTTATTTATTTGACAGAGAGAGAGACATCCAAAGAAGGAACACAAGCAGGGGGAGTGGGAGAGGGAGAGGAAGAAGCAGGCTTCCCACAGAGCAGGGAACCCAACATGGGGATTGATCCCAGGACCCTGAGATCATGACCTGAGACAAAGGCAGATGCTGAACAACTGAACCACCCAGGCACTCCACTGTGATATATTTTTAACAATCTTGTATAAACATTAACTTTCATGAATATGTATTTATTGGAATTGTGATTAATTTATAATATTGGGTTATTAACAGGAGAAAATAAATGTAGAAGATTCAAACATATGAATACATACTATATTCCACCTCCAGTAGTTTGAATTGTGGGTGTATATATGTGTAGGGGTTAATGTGTGTGTGTGGGGGGTGTATCTGTATGTATGTATGTTATATATAGATATAGTATATACATGGCAAACATTCAGTATATATAGTGGGGGGAAAGCTGAGAAAAGAGTTGTAATAAGTTTACATTTTTGAAAATGAAGAATACTGAGAGAAATTAATTAAAATATATATTGCTTTTCAGGAGAAAAGCAACAGTAAATGCCTTAACTTGAATATAACTCAATATGCGTGAAGGCTTTGTGGGTGCAGGTAATGTGAAGACAAGCATGTGAAATCATGTTTTTTACACATTATATTTGTAGAGGTTTTATTTTTACAATTGGGTAAGTCAGTTATGATTATTATAGCTTATTGTTATATTTGCCAGAGTTGACATTGTACTAGATTATAATGGAATTAGTTTCCTCCAAGCTTTATGGTTGAGATCTCAGTAGCCATTACAGATATATACTGAGCCTTTTTCGGTTGTTGATGAAGAAACCATGTGGGTTGTATCATCACAATCAGTGATAAATATGAAATATGGTAATGATAAATTGTATCTTTTACTAAAAATTAATTCTTTATTAAAATAACTAATGTGCATATGCATATGTGTGTGTGTGTATGCATACAAATGCATGTGCATAGTAATGTCGACTAGCTTTTGTCTAAATATTAAGAACATGTGGACGTCCCAGTGAAGAAACATCCAGGGACATACTTCTTGTCCCAGTCCCAGATTCTATAAAGGTAAACCCTCTGGGGCTGAGTGGGGGAAGGAGGAAAGTTTATTGAAGGAGGAACTGTCTGAGGAAGCATAGGATTTCTAGACATAGAAAAGGGAGAAATAATCATTTCTTGGGGATCAGTAAATATTTTTTCCATCTGAAGAAAGAGCAAGACAAATATAACGAATTCCAACTCTCAGAAGATAACAAAAAGGGAATTTTCGGGTCATTTCTTATACAACATACTGCTCAAGTTAGCATAGAATCATTTCAGCCTTTCCAAAATAATTTTTTTAAGATTTTATTTATTTATTTATTTATTTGGGGGGCGGGAGAAGGAGATGGAAAGAGAATGTCCAGCAGACCCGTCCCTGAGCCTGGAGCTTGATACGGGGCTCGATTCCGGGACCCTGACATCATGAACTGAGCCAAAATCAACAGTCAGATGCCTGGCTGACCCACCCAGGCACCCCCCAAATACAGTTTTATTTTAAATTTTGAATAAAAAAAAAAACATATTGAAGGCACATGATGTATTTTTTTTATTAGCTACCCAGGTGTTCCAAATCTCTTTTATTTGAAATTAAAAAATACATTAAGATGAACACTGTAATAAGAGTTTTGTATTAAGTACACCCTGATTGTATGATGTAACACTGCATTTCTTCAACCCAGATACCTATACACAGCCTATTTATGCAGTTTGTCTCATATTTTTATGATATCACATTACCTCTGCTACTATTCTAGGTTTGCATGTATTTTCATAAAGTAAGTTTTCTGAATGTTTAAACCTATCCATATCTCATGAAAATTAATGCCAAATACTCATTTACTCCAAGTCAGACACAATAACTGTGAATTTTCCAGTAATTTTCACTTTGGCTGAAAAATAGGCGGAAATCAAGGAGTTGGTTACTGATTTAGCTGTCTTTGTATGTCATAATGAACTTAATGACACAAATTGTTTTAAATATGACTATGAAAAATCACTCTAGTGATGTAAATTGTGTAGAGGAGAATAGCTTCAGGTTAGAGAAATAATGACTTCTCAAGGCTTATGAGAAAGACAAAAGCAGTAATAAAATCTGAGAAGGAAAATCACAGCATTCAAGGGGACCCTATGAGCAGTGAGGCAGCCCGGTTGGTGTGGCTCATAAAGATGTTTTTCCGTGGGGATTATTGATGACAATAACTCTTTGTTATAGCATATTGATTTCTAGCATCTCTATTCCTTGAGTCCTGCAGCCAGGAAAGGAAACAGTTTATATTATAATTGTCATGATGACAAATATAGATGAAAAACAAAACAAAACAGGTTCTTAATAGCTTCTGGGGGGGAAACTTCTTTTTACACAGTGATCATGAGTGTGCACTTCTTCTGTAGCCTCAGCTCTCACTCATAGTGGGAGGAAGAAATAAATGAACCTAATATAGCACTTGGTGTAGACAGAGATCAATGAGGCTACCTCACATCCGGCAATATTGTCAGTATGATACCTGAGAAAGACCTTTGTTTTCAAAATGACAATTCTACAAGTTAACCATTGGCCACAAAGTCAAACACCAATGGTCAAAGAAGCTGTGATCTGAAGAAAATCTCTGGAGAATGTATGTATCACTAACCAAGCCTTGTCATCCTTCTGTTATTCAGGAAAAAGATTTTGTCAGGGATATCCAATTTCTAGGAGATTCCTTAGTAAAAAATTCAAAAATTAAGTTGTATAGTCCCCACGTTGATGTTAATATCAATAGTGTCAAAATTAAACCTATTAAAGAAAGCCAAAAATTGAACCAAATAAACAAGTCATGACTCCACCATTTCAATGGTGGCTAATATTGACTCAGAAGAAGAGAGAATCATCTCAATCAATATTTGGTTAAGTTTCACTGCCTTTTTTTTTTCTTTTTATTACTATAATGGAAAAATCAAGTAAATGGTTAGGTTCTTTTATTGCTCATAAAATTCAAACTAAGAACATAGGCTAGCAAGGAAACACAATCCCCCTATTTGGCTCTGACACATAATTAATGAGGAAAGAAACCATACATACTCCATCCCTGCCATATTGCCTTTCACTTGGTGAGAATGTTGTGAGATTAGATTCAAATAGAGCTACAACTATGCTTACTTAACTCAGCTTGAGTTTGAAGATGTTGGGCAGAGGTGTGTCACTGATACATGGACAGGGGGTTTAGAAACAGGATGGTGGGAAAGAGAGGACTAACTAGTTATGAATCAAACTATGATAAGGTCTTGATTTCTTCTTACTGTTTAATTTGGGTGTTACTTAAAACACCTGAACTTGAATATGATACATTCTAAATTAGAGAAAATAATAATCTCTAACCTTACTGGGTTGTGAGAAATAACTGAAAATGTAAAAAATTAAGGATCTAAGGTTGAGTGTAACTTTCAGAAATGGGGAGATTCTCTCTTTTGTGATTGTGGTTGGTTTTAATTTGTTATTGCTAGGAAAACTTTAAGTTCCATATCTTTTCTAGATGAGTGAAAGTATACATGCCATAAAACCTGATTTTTGTTTTCCTCTTTTGTGAAATAATAATTGCATCATCTGGCTTACCTAAGAATCTTAATGTAAATGGTATTTTTAACTTTAAAAACAATGTTACTAGGTATGTTTATTTGTATCATTATTATTATACTAAATGAGCTAATATAATTAACTAAATTCAGGACAGCAATCTTTAAGTTCAATATCAGCTTGCTTCATTCATTCATTCATTTACAAGATAGTTTTGAGCACCTACTCTGTGCTAACATTGATCTACATGCATTGATCCATAGATCTTGCCATCCTAGTAGGAGAAAAAGATACTAAGTTAGTGAGTATATTCATAAATAAGATAATGCCAAATAATTTTAAGTTTTGTGAAGAAAATGAAATAAGATGATGTCATATTCGAGTGGGATGGTATGTTAGCTGGAAAAGATGACATTTAAGCTGGAACTGAATGTTCAGAAGGAGCAGGTCCTGCAAGCATTAGGTGAATATTTGTCTAAACAGGGGGATTAACAAGTGTACAACCCTAAAGAAAATTAAGTTTGACACTTTGCAGGGGTAGAAATCTGTTTATTGTGAATGACTGCTTTTGCAGTAATAGAGACCACATGATGCACAATGCCTAAAATGTTTACTATACGACTCTTTACAGAAAAAGTTTGTAAAACCCTGGTCTAGCTCAAATGCTTTCTGGAGTGATATAGGAAGTGTGCATTGAAAACAATAACCATTCATCGGCTCATGAATTGTGGTTCAGGAATTAAAGCAAACCCTTTCTTCTATTCCACATGGCATGGGCTTAAATTACTCACTCAGATAAAGTCAGCTGGTGTTTGGATGGATTTGCAAGATTCAGGAAAACTCTACTTATTTGCTCTAGGTGTCTGGTGCCTCAGTGTTTTCTTTCTCCTTCTTCTCTTCTCCCCTTCCCCATCCTCTTCTCCCTTCTCCCTCTCCCGTCCATTTCTCACTTCTCCCCAATCCCTCCCCATCCTCTTATTCCTTCTCCCCTCCTCTATCCTTATTTTCCTCCTTCTCTCCACATTCTCCTTTCTTCTCTCTTCTCTTTTCTTGTCTCCTCTTCATATCTCCCCTATGGCTATACTGACCTTCTGTTCTCTCCACCCAGGCCCCTACAGCGTGGAAGTCTTAGCGTAGTCATACTTCTTATATGCCAGCTACTTCAGGGAAGGGCCCTTCCAAGAGTCAGAGTCAGAAGCTTCAGATTTTTAAGTCCTGGACTCAGTTGTCCTACAAAATGACTTCTGCCACTTTTTGTTGCTCAAAATAGATCACAGAGCCAGCCCATATCTAAGGGGACAAGAAAAAGTCTGCATTTCTTCATGGGGAAGTGGCACCATCACTCTGAGAAGCACCATTTTTGATGTGAAATATTGTTGCAACAATCTTTAGAATCATAGTCTACCAGAAGGGTACTTAGTGATACAATCAGTTTATATTCTGGCACTGCTCATCATCTCATCCCATCAGGGTAACTTTACAGTTAACGCTTTTTTTACAGTTTACCCTTTTTCAGGGTAAGTTTACAGAAAGTTCATCAGTCTGAGAAACACACTGAGAAGCACTGACCTAGGTTCTTGAACACTACATAAAGACTTCGGGCTTCTTTGGATGACTTTAATAAGATATTGTAATATATTCATTTTATGTTGGATTATATAATTACACATAGAAATAATTCTAGAAAGGAGTTTGTAAATAAATATGCAAAAATTGAATTTCTGAAATATAATTTTCCAAATGAAATATGATCAGAAATTTCTCCGTACTTAATCAAATGCTTAATACCTCAAGGTCTGGATATGGATTCATGAAAGCAATCCCTCCTCTCCTTATAAACTTTTGCCTCTCCAAGGAGCACTTGGATGGTTCAGTTGCTTGGTTGCCCTCTACTCAGGCCATGCCTCATTGCATCTGGCTCCCTGCCCTACAGGATGGAGCAGGGGAGGAAAGAAGGGGGCACTGCTTCTCCCTCTCCCTCTTCCTGCCACTCCCCTGCTTGTGTTCTCTCCCTCTGTCAAATAAATAATTTTTTTTTTTCTGATGGGCAACAACTTTATTTTTTTAAATATTTTTATTTGTCAGAGAGAGGGAGTGAGAGACAGAGAAGCAGGCAGAGGGAGAAACAGGCTTCCCATAGAGCAAGGAGCCCAAGGCGGGACTTGATCCTAGAACCCTGGGACCATGACCTGAACCAAAGGCAGACCTTAACTGACTGAGCCACCCAGGCATTCCAATAAATAAAATGTTTAAAAAATTATTTCTGCCCTTTCATGTAATGTGGCCTAATTCTTACCAGATGATATGAAATCTGACTAGAAGAAGCTGTTTTTCTGGACAAGGAAAATAGCTTAGGTTTAGCTATAATTGCCAAAGGTACAGGTCATGATTTCTGAAATAATTTCAAGGCTCTCAATATCTGCGAAAGTATATCCCATGAAAGGAAGGATTTTCATTCATTATAACCTGAAAGTATGAAAATACTTTGGGTTCTAAAAGTAATCAACTAGATTTTTTTTTTCTGTGTTTCTGTGTGATGTGG